GAGAAGGGCAGCATACAAATAATACAATACAATACAATACAATACAATATTCCTCGAGGAAAAAGCTGGACCTTTACCGATATGACCAACAAAATAAATGTTTCTTAAAATGCCATTACCATTTCGACTTGAATTGGTTTCACTTAGCTACTGTAGCTCTTGGGATTATTTTATATTATCGCTCTAGGACTTATCAGGCGACAGGACCTGGCGGATCTTGTTTGCATCAGATCTACGTAACCTTTGAATATGAAACTGCACAGATGTCCTCAAATGGGTGTAAGTCAAAAAGAATATTCCAGAAGGCAGCAATGGTGAAAACTATGTCCATATTGCTGCCAAGAAAATATCATGGGTATCATCATCGTTATTATCTTTCATCCTTGTTTGTGTATAGCTCAAAGTGACGAATGTGCCTAGTTCTCGTGCTTCCTATTTTCCCACAACAATCTTGTGAGGTGGGATGTAGCCATCTGGGCACCACAGAAACTATAGTACAGTTTGGTGGAGTCTAACAAAGTAATAACTCTGTCCTTAAGACTGACTGGTGAGTCAGGGCTAAACAAAATGACTCCAGGATGCAGGGAAGATATTCAGCACCTGGTAACTTTTTCAAGCTTTTAAAAATGCATCCTGAGCCAAAACTGCTAGAAGTGCCTCATGTCACAATGAACCTCCCACTCCTAGAAGGTGACCCTACCCAGTTGTCACAACTCCACAATCCTGATCGTGTGTGCCAGACTTACTTCAATGTCAAATTCTACTTCCCCTGGCTCCCGCACTTTATTTGGGTCGGAACAGGGTTTGGCTCGTGGCAGTTTCCGAGGAAATTCTGGAATTGGAAGAACATAGATGTTAAAATATGTCACTGGAAACCGAGGAAAGGCTGGCAAATCACACAAGCTGTGAATCAAACAGAAATGTATTAATTCTCCAAAAAGAGACATATGTGGCTCTTGTGACTCAGATAATGGTGGTATCTGTATAGATACCCACCAGCCTAGGAATCAGCCCTGAAAACTGTGGTTTAGATAACAGTTACCCTACACACTCATCTACATAGGAATCTGCCTTGTAAATCATGGTGGGACTTACTGCCAAGAAAACATATATAGGACTCACTTGCCATTTTATAAATCAATAATAATGATAAACAATTAGGGACACAACCTAAGCTTTGGAAGTCAACAAGTGCCCCCATAAACCATCTGAAGTAGGTATAGAAACTATATAACCTCTTTTAATGAAAGTAGAAGGTCAAAGATGAAATAAGAGAATGGAATTTAGGCAACCACTACTGAAGTTGAAGAGAAGAAAAGAATCATTCATAAAAGAAAACAGAACAGCAAAGTCACATTTTAAATTGTAATCACACTCCAAAAATTATGCTTAAAAACCAAGACGACAGCACGGAATACAGAATTTAGCTTCTCTAAAACTCCAGTTTTAGTTTTTGTAAAATAAATTTCATGGATTGGTGACAGTGTTAACCACAGAACAATAAGGTGTGTTGGTGGTTAATAGTTGTTGCCATTACAATGAAGTGCCTGAAAGCACATAAGCAATTCGTAATGAAGATGCCGATAGCTCTTAGCAGACAGACATTTGGAAGGGAGGCTTGGAACAGAGATGAAGGAGACAGCCAAAAGCATGACCAGAGTTAGCATGAGTGAACATGGAAGAGGTATTTGTCCAGAGGTGGGTTCCTACCAGTTCGCACCTATTTGGTAGAACCGGTTCGTCAAATCTACTGAACCAGTTAGAAGAGGTTCCACCAGTGGACCCGNCCCTGAGTCTCCCGGGAGTAGGGCGGCATACAAGCTAAATAAACCTAAACCTACTGCTTTCTAGACATGCTGAACTACGACTCTTAGGATTCCCTGGCTGGATGACTGAGGTCGTCAGCCTATAACTGAGCCACCCTGGACTGCTCCTGGGACAGAATATTCTCCACTAAATCAGTCTCCCATTCCAAGAGAGGTCTTACAGATAGTCCTCGAGTTATGACCATAATGGAGTTACAAGTCATAATGGCTGTAAAGCAGGTTGGTCACATGAATGACCCAATTCCACATTTTTTTTGTGGCAGTTGCTAAATGAATGCAGTGGTCTTAAGTGTGAGCACCACAGTTGTTCAATAAACCCACTGTTTGCTATGGCACGGTTTTGCCAACCCCCCCCACCCCCCCAGAAATGCCAGGTTTTGGCAAAACGTTATAAAAAATAGTCAATCACCATGGGACAATGCAAACGGCAGTAAATATGGCCATGTTTCCCAGCTCCCAAAGTAGCTGTCATATAATTGGGATTGTGGGGGGAAGGAACTGTCAGAACGTCGGATCCAAGTTCTACGTCCCCTTTTCCAGGACCTTCTGGGTCCTGATTGTTACCCAGCCCAAGTCTGAGTTATTCTCTCAATCATTTACCTCCTTTTTAGTCCAGGAGCGAAATGCAGTATTAAGGGCTTTGGCCCCGTGAGCCAAATAGGCAGCTGGGTGCCTACGGTTTTCTCGAAGGCCTGCCAGGAGAAAGAGAAAGAGAGAGAGCATCAGTAGTGGCCATTCTCATGAGCCACAGGGAGAAAGGGGGATACTAAAAACAGGCAAACTCAAAACTCACCTCGGAAGATATCCAGGAGATGTTTGCCAACGTACCAGCAGATCGTTTCAAAGTTGGGGAATTTGAAGAGATCAGCTGTGCTGAGGCGCTTTTCAATCTCGTAAGCCCTAGGTAGGAAGGAAGGGAGGAAGGAAGGGAGGGAGGGAAGGGATGTAACATCTTCCATAAAGAGGACATTGCTTCTGTAAATTTATGCTAATTTGCTGGACTCCTCTCCTCGGATGGTTTAGTCAACAGCTACCAATCAAGAGCCATAAGAAGCTATCTAGGCACTAAACACTCATTCCTCTGACTTACTCCTGGGTTCCGGTCAGCACTTCATTAGGCAACTAGGATTACATGAGGCATTCTCCATTCACTTTGCTTCTCAGAAGCCAGCTGGGAAAGTTGCCCAAGATGATCACATGGTTGGTACATAGCAACTGTCATAAATATATGCCAGTTTGCCAAGCGCCCGAATTCTGATCACATGACCATGGGGGATGCCACAATGGTCATAAGTGTAAAAACCAGTCATAAGTCACTGTTTTCAGTGCCATCGTAACTTTGTGCGGCCATTAAACAAATGGTTGTAAAGTCGAGGATTATGTGTATTTAATTCTTCAACCAATATTGAGTTTGGTATGCTTCCAGGTGTTTATACTCTTACATCCAGGATCCTCTGAAGAAATGATGCTAGGCCAGGCCAGATCATTGCGTTTTCTGCTTTAGTGTCATCCACATTAGTAAGCAATAACTCACTTAAGGGTTTTCAGAAGGAAATCTTCCCAGACTAGCTCGGAGAAGTGGAAAAATGAATTTGGGACCTCCACCCTCTACTCCTGAGTTTTGGCTTTTCCCTTGATAGTTTCCCCAGATGCTCAATGGTGGCCAATTGCTCCCATCCAAGCTTACTTGAGCTGCATCTCAATGTTGAGACTGTGTAGAAAATTGCCTCCAAAGGCCAGGCAGTCCACGGGGGTCAGCACAGCATGGATCCACCCTGGAAGGACAAGAGGTGGTAAGATGGTAAATAGCTTCTCAAGAACATTGACCGACTGGGAAAGAGGAGAAACAGCTGTTTCGGGCCTGAAATGCCAAAGGGGAAAAAGGGCTTAAAGCAGGGTGAAATTCAAATTTTTTACTACTGGTTCTGTGGGGGTGGCTTGGTGGGCATGGCAGGGGAAGGGTACTGCAAAATCTCCATTCCCTCCCCACTCCAAGGGAAGGATAGTGCAAAATCCCCATTCCCACCCTACTCTGGGGCAAGCCAGAAGTGGTATTTGCCAGTTCTCCGAACTACTCAAAATTTCTGCTACCAGTTCTCAAGAACCTGTCAGAACCTGCTGAATTTCACCCCAGGCTTAAGGCATTAGCTACTCTACATGACCCGGCTATTATCTTCCATGCTTTCTACCCATCCGGTAACACTGGGCAGAGTCAGTACAGTTTGGGTCTCCCCAAGCAATGCCATCCAATGCCAATCAGAGAGCAGGGCTTCTTGGTCAAGTGTCCTACCCCGTGGGAGGATATCCTTGCTGAGATCCATGTCTCTCCCTCCCAGGCCTTGTGATATGGAGCTTGATGATGGTGTTTTTGTTAGAAGGAGTGGGTTTGTGCAAATGCACAGGATTTTCCTGTTTTTTTCCCTCTTTTTATTTATTCTTTTCCCCCCCTTGCTTTAACCCACCCATAGTAATTTTGGAGTCAGGTGGCTTGTAAAACTCAAAGAAATAAACAAGCCAGCATTCAACCTTTACCTATAAATAGCCCTTTCCCTAAGTGATCAAACACATTGTCCCACAAAATGGAAGCTACGGGAAAAGAAACAGCCCAGAAAAGAGAAAATCAAATGCCCAAGAACCACAATAGGAGGAATGACGCCGACTGGGAATGATATATGGGTCAACTCGTAAAGCATTCATGGTCAACCTGGCTTTAGGGGGCCCTTACCTGTCGGTATGAAGAGGGTCTGGCCCTGGCGGACAGGACAGCGATAGCACCTATCCACTTGGTCCCCAAAGAACATTTCATTCTGATTGGAGGAGCTGCTCCATGCCTCAAAGAGGGTCAGGTTGGCCGCAGTGGGACGTACCAGGTAGAAGATCTTCTCTCCCTGTGGGGAAGGATACAGAATAAATTTCCCCACTAAGTCTCCTCCGTCTTTTTCCAAAATGATAAAGAGCCGAAGAAACAAGGTGCACATAAATAAGGGGAAGATTGATGCAATAAAGCACAGAGACATTGGGTACTTCGGCACTAATCTTTACATGGGGGGGGGGGACATGTCTCATGGACAATTAGACTGTTCCAAGGGCAGAAAAAATGATCTTAGCCTCACATTTCAGAGGCAGCATTTGAAGAGTAACAGAATTACAAACACCTTCCTTGTCTGAGTCCGCTTGCGCTGTCCCACAGATAATCTTACCCAATAATTTTACCAAGCTTTCTCTGCATGATTCTTTTTTTTTTTTTTTTTTTTTTTTTACAAACGTTGGCACAATTTCTTCTTCTTCTTCTTTACATTATAACTTTCAAGACCAGATATCCTTCATACATGAAGGAAATCAAAGACCACAGTGCATGCCAAGGTTAACGGAAGGTCTGGGCCAAGAACAATTCTAAAGAAGAGGTGTGTTAAGTAAGACCATCTGCATAACTTTCTATATTTTACACAGTTCATAATGAAGGACGTGATGATATACAGTGTGCTAACGTTCGGTTTTCTGGCTGCTGAAGATCTTTACTTTGTTTCTAGGCTACAGCTGCAAATTTGACTAGTTTGCAAATGACAGCAGAGATTTTCCAGGTGCTGAATTCTGCAATTATCATCCAAATGTGTCTTTTGGTGGCATAAACACATTTTTGCAATTATAAGCCAACATTTCATGGCCTAGTCCAGATAGAATCCAAAAATAAATCCTCCACTCTTCCCCAAACTGTGCAGGATTTTAAACTACCATCATCCCCAGAAACCTTTCTTAAAACATACACGTGCCTTCAAGTCAGTGTTGATTCCTGGCGATTGCCTGAACTAGTCCCTGCTATATTTTTTTTTGCCAAGACTTCAGAAGTGGCTTGCCCATGCTTTCTTCTTAGGGCCAAGAGAGAGTGGCTGGCCCAAAGTACCCAGCTGGCTTTGTGCCTAAGACAGGTCTGAACTCATCACTTCCCAATTTCTAGTCTGACGCTTTAACCACTCCACCAACTGGGCTCTCATTTTAAAACATGAGAAATGGATACATTAAAACCATTTCATCCCTTCTTCTATGGACTCAGTATATTTTCTTCATGCCGACACCTCCACAAAATGGCTCTGGACCCTTTTAACAAGAATCCTTGTCAGAAACTAATGAGAAAAATAATAGTAATACTGTCACTATGAAGCCATGAAAGGCAGCTACAGTTGCAAGAAAAAGTATGTGAACCCCTTGGGATTACATAGAGTTTTGCATGAATTGGTCATAAAATGTGCTCTGAACTTCATCTAAGTCANGGCAAGCCACTCCCACAAAGGAGGCCACACCCACATAGGTTCGAACAATTTTTGAAACCCACCACTGTATTTGCCCAACCCAAGAGAAATGCATCCACCCTAGAGAGCCACCAAGCATGGATGGAAGGGGCCACATACTGGAAAGCTTCTTGTGCAGCAGCAGATTCCTCCTTTCCCTGCGTGGCGTTTCGTCGATCTGCAGATCCTCCTCAGAGTCTATATCTGGGGCTTCTGCATCAGAGGGGCTGGGTGGGGCTCTCATATGTGCTCCTTTGTGGCTCCGGATGCGCTCCGAGGCTTTGATTTTCCTGTCCAAAGGGGGGGTGGGGGAATGGGAGGAGGAGAAATACCAGAACTGACGAGGCTGACCTGATCTGATGATCTACTCACTGGAGATTATTATGCAGGCCCATAACATATTCTCTGTTCTCCTTTTTGGATCAGCCCTACAAAGGTAGGGAAAAGGGTTATTATTTTTCTTAAACACTGAGATGTCTTCTTGGTAAGTAAGAGTCACCTTTCTGAAGCTATGATGTTGGGTTTAGCCTACGTATTCCCCATGCGTTTAGCCTACGCCTGGGGAATACAAATCTCTGCTCTGCCTTCATGCATAGGTTGGTCACCATTCAGCTTCACCTTTCTCTCAGCCCTGAAGAGTTGCTGGGTAGGAAGGATATAACAACAAAAATAACAACAAAAATACACTCAAGGTAACAAAAGATTCCTCCCGAGGGTAACATAGAAGCATGAGGTTTAACCTTAGTCCAGTGCAATGTTTGGCTACTCTACATTATTCTTACCAGCAACTCATCTTTAAATGTGGACCATCTCTTGCAACAAACTTGGGCTGTAACCACCTGCCAATCTGCTCACTTCTAGGTTCTGAAATCCTGGCCTTAAGCCACCCCCACGCCTCCCCCTGCTGTCAGCAAAGGAGATTTTGGCATGGTTCTTTCTTCTCAGCATGGCCCATCTGCTCACCAACATGGCTTACGAAGGAGGAGCTGCTTGAAAAGCAGAAGTGGAAAGCTCCATCTTGCCCAATGTCTATGTCATACCCTGCTGACCCAGAGTGTTCGGTTGGAATGAGGCCGGCGGCGTCCTCGCGCACGCGTGCGGCATCCTCGCGCACGCATGCGGCACGCACGCGCACATGCACGCACGCGGCACGCGTACTAGCGTCTGCGCGATGCTCCAGCTGCTTCTGGAGGATCGTGCAGGCGCTGTATGCGTTCTACGCATGCGTGGAAGCGCAGAATTTGTAAAAACCGGGTAAG